ACTCCGGTCAGACTTTGTCGCCAGAATCGTATCTGAACTATTTCCCGCTGACCCCAACATTGTTCCTCCACGGATGACATCTGATATAAGACCAGAAATAGAAGGCGAGATTCCCTTGGTTAGTGATGTGGAATTTGCAAACGTAGTGGATCGTCTAGAAAAGCGTAGGAGAGCCCCAGGTCCAGACGGTATACACGGCCGTGTATTGGCAATTGCTGTTGAATATCTAGAGGGTGAAATGCGGGAATCATTTAATCTTTGTTTTTGTACTGGACAATTTCCGCAACTATGGAAGGAGGGGCGTCTATGTTTATTGCGCAAGCCTGGTCGCCCACAAGATACTTCATCAGCATACCGCCCAATAGTTTTACTTAATGAGGTGGGTAAGCTTTTAGAAAGGATAATAGTTTGGCGCTTAAGTCAACATATATCTGTTGTTGGTCCAGATTTAGCCGACGCTCAGTACGGATTTAGAGTTGGGCGATCAACATTAGAAGCGGTTGGCGCCTTGAAACATTTTACTATGGAGGCTGTCCGTAGTGGAGGTAAGGCCTTGGCAGTTTCCTTGGATATTTCCAATGCTTTTAATAGCTTGCCGTTTACAGTCATAATGGAGGCTCTCCGTTTCCACGGTGTGCCCTTATATCTTCAGAATCTTGTCAGAAGCTATTTAGAAGATCGTAAAATTCTGTATGTAAATGACTCAAGCGAGCTGGTTCGGTGGCCAATGAAGTGCGGGGTTCCTCAGGGCTCGGTACTGGGCCCCCTTTTATGGAACATTGGATACGATTGGGTGCTTAGGGGTACGTTGCTACCTAAGTTAAAAATGTTTTGCTATGCAGATGATACCCTTATTGTAGCGCAAGGTAGAGACTTCCAAGAAGTGGTACGTCTAGTAGAATTTGGGACCTCTTTAGTAGTTGATAGGATTGGCCTACTAGGACTTAAGGTTGCTCTTGAAAAGACTAGTGCGCTCTTGTTTCACCTTGTTTCCTTCTAGGGCATCAATTATTGTTAATGAAGTTAGAGTGTCGGTTGTCGTAATATGAAGTATTTAGGGCTCATTCTTGATGGTAGGTGGAAGTTTGAGGATCATTTTAAAGCTCTTGGTTCGAGACTAGTTGGTGCAGCAGGGGCACTGAGTCGTCTGCTTCCAAATAAAGGTGGACCTGACGAACGGTGTCGGAGGCTTTACTGTGGGGTCATTCGAAGCATGGCACTTTACGGAGCCCCAGTGTGGCAAGACTCGCTCACTTTAACCAATAAAATCCTTCTACGGAGGCCGCAAAGGGTTGTGGCAAGAAGAATAGTCCGTTGTTACCGAACGGTGTCTTTTACCGCTTGCTGTATATTGGCTGGCACTCCACCTTGGGAGTTAGAGGCTGAGGCTCTCACTTTAGTATACAATCACCGGATGGAGTCGAGGGCTGAAGGTATTTACCCTGGTGTTGAGGAAGTCGAGAATTTAAGACGTTTGGCGCGATCAGCTACAATGCAAAAATGGTACCAAGACTTAGCTAACCCAGCAGCGGGGCATAGAACGGTGGAGGCTATTCGTCCAGTACTTAGTGACTGGGCAAATAGAAAAAGTGGTGCCCTTACCTTTCGTCTTGTGCAGGTGTTGACAGGACATGGATGTTTTGGGCGATACTTGCATGACATCGTGCGGCGGGAACCAACACCGAGCTGCTTGGAGTGTGGCGCAAATGATGATACTGCACAGCATACGTTGGAGGATTGTCCGCAGTGGTCTCAGCTACGTCACAATCTTATTTCTGTGGTGGGTAATAACCTTGCTTTGCCTTGTGTTGTACAAAAAATGGTCGGCAGTGACGAGGTATGGAATGCAGTGGTATGCTTCTGTGAGCATGTCATGCTACAGAAGGAGACAGCAGAACGAGAGAGGGAGCGCTTTAGGACGAATCCTAGGGGTAGAAGACGGGGAGAAAATAGGAGAAGATATGCCCATCTCCTACCTCCTATGTAGTGTATACTGCACCGGAGGTTTTTGAGTGTAACATGCCGTTGAGGTCCCGGTAGAATGCGACAGCGACCCCGGAGCCTCTGTAACGCGGCTTTGTCGGAACTACTCGAGGTGGTTTTAGTGGGTATTGCTCACCCGGTCTCTGAATAGCAGAGATTTTGGCGTGGGTCGAGTCCCACATACCCCTGTTCAGGGGATGCGCAAATGCATTTCCACCTCGGATATCAAAAAAAAAAAAAAAAAAAAAAGACCTAACCAACCAACCAGAGCCAACGCTGGTATTCTGTAACTTCTACTAGTGATCACAACATTTGTACGCAATATAGATATAGTCTTGGAATGGCCAGGAATAAAAACCCTATCGAGGTCAGAATCGCTATCACTATTGATGGTTACAGAGACCGCAGATCCAGTAAAATTACTGTTCAATAGATGCTTGTGATTATATTTAGATTTAGATTATTAGGGTCACTTGGGTTGCATGCTTTGGCGTGTGCAGGGCTGAGGTGTGACATCCAAGGGACTGGCCTGCGTAAGCGCATTTTCACCTTAAAAAAACCTTAGGTTTGGTAATAGGCTGGCACGCCCTAAGAAAGAACGCTTCTAATATCGTCTAACAATAAAACCCAATTCCTTTCAATGTCTCTATTCCCAAAACTGGTTTCCAAAACGTGGTGTAAAGATGACTCACTGTTGAAATCTTAGTAGGGATCGAAATCGCTTCTGTACCTACTTGCTAACCTTTTAATCAGCAAATATGATAAGATTGGAGGAAACAAAAAAGGATTGTCTTTGATTAACATAACTTTTATTCATTTAATAAAACACTATTTTGACCGGATTGAAGTTATGTATTATTATAAATTTACAACTATTTAAAATTATGTTAAATAGTTGTAAATTTATAATAATACATAACTTCAATCCGGTCAAAATAGTGTTTTATTAAACAAAAAAGGATTTTCAGTCGTGGCGAGTGGAGTGATCTAAACAATTACAAACCATGATTTTTCATACGAAGTTGAAGGTGATGGTTTCATAATTCGTAACTCTTATACGAAACATCACCTAAGTCATATAACATAGATTCACGCTTACAAACTTAAACTTCAGATTATGAGTTAGTGGTAAAAGGTATTCTTCTCTATAAATCTAAATAGGTATACATCGATACCATAATAAGAATTTTACGTTAAATGAATTTCAACCGTTTTTGTGCCATGTCCCACCTTAGCCTTTGTAAAATTCTTATGCCCCCCTCCCCGTCTATGTAATGATAGCTAGGAAGAAATTACTTAAAGAAAAAAAAACTTTTACATGCGTGGTCACCGTTTCGCTGTTAAGCACGCGAAACGTCGGATAAATTTGAAATTATGTTAAATAATTGTAAATTTATAATAATACATAACTTTAATCCGGTTAAAAAGTTTTTTCTTTAAATGTGTAAAGGTTATGTCAATCAAAGACAATACTAAGAAATTACTTGAAAATTGTTTACGAAACACAGTAAGTAGATTTTAAAACGTATATAAAAAATAATACATTTTCGAATAGCCCTTAACTATCAAATTGCCCCCCTGTGGGGACACGGGAAACACTGGTCTAGTATATTTACTTACGGGCTTTGTTAATACGTAATTCCTTTTCTGCCCACGCTTAGCTAAATCAATATTCTTATATAAGGTTAAGCATTATTTCGATAAGCACCTACGCCCACACACTAATTACGCTTTTAATATACCTTTTGTATCAGAGTCATCGTGTATAGAAGCGTTTAATATGTGGAAGTGGCCGAGTGAATTTATAACTCTGTAAATCCATTAGGAATAAGTTTCAAAATGGGTCATTTGAATGGGTTGGCCATTAAAAGTTAATAATAACTTAAATCAATATGTCATTATGATTTAAGTATAGCTTTGTAACGAAATCATTTTTGTATCGTTTCAAAATTTAAAATATGATAATGACATTATTTTGGTTCATAATTAAAATTGTATGTTCCGGAACATTATTCTTTACGTCAGATACCATCTGTGTCCTCGATACACCTTGGTAATTTTTTATCATCACATTGCGATCTTTTCCATCACCGTATGAATAAGTGTCGAGTTTGTCTTTTAAAGCTGATTTAAACCACACCAATTCACTATTATAACTAATCTTTTATTAATAGGATTCGTAATATTTAAATGTAATGAATAATGAGCGGTGCTGCAGGAAGCTCATAAATTATTAAGCAAAGGCTAAAGTTTAGGCGACGTTCATATAGTAATTAAGTTTTAATAATTTCTGATAGTTTCGTATCCAAATTTATAGGTGGACACATATGAATAAATGTTGTAATATAATTATATCTTATTAAAGCTACAATCGATTTTAAAATGTATTAAACAATAAGCATTAATATGATGTATTAATAAAAATCTACTTTGGTTATGGGCTATTCCACCAAATTTTCTTCCAAAAGTGTGTTACTATTAATAAATGCTAAATTGCTTCAAGTGCCCGTAAAAAGTTCGAAGATGGCCCTTGACTTCTCCGGGATACGGGCGGGATATCTGAAAATATGGGACTAATGAGTATAAAATATATGTAAAAACCAATCAATCTCTTATAAGAATGTAGTGAAACACTTCCATGGGAAGAAGTAGCAAGAGTCAAGATTTTGACGAATTATAAAGTAATATTACTCGGCTCGTAAATATATATTATACGTATAAAGTATAATTGACGGCTCATTGGTCTAGTGGTTAGTACCTCTGACTGCGAATCCATGGGTCCCGGGTTCGATCCCCGGCTGAAACAAAACATAGATATGATGAGCGTTTGGTGTTGTGCTTAGGTCTTGGGTGTTTAAATATGTATTTATATGTCTATCTATATATAATATGTTTGTATATCCGTTGCCTAGTACCCATAACACAAGCTTCACCAGCTTAGCATGGGACTAGGTCAATTGGTGTGAATTGTCCAATAAAAAAAAAATTAGTAATAATAAATATACATTTTTTTACAGTGGAAAGTTACGTAGGCAGCTCAATGCCACTATGGAGAGTGGATCGGCGGCAAATGGGCGCCTTTCTATGTATAGCATCCAATGACGTACCTCCCGCCGTTAGTAAGCGGATCACTCTTAATGTTAACTGTAAGTTAATACATCATTTATTTTCCTACCATCGTGATAATATTTTTTTAAACTTTTAAATTATGAGATATTTAGGTGGACACAGACACAGTTTTCGTTGCCATACTCCTCCAAAACGGCTCGACCGATTCTCTTGAAATTTTGTGTGCTTATTGTGTATGTCTGAGAATCGGACAACATCTATTTTTCATCCCCCTAAATGTTAAGGGTAGTCCACCCCTAAATATTTTTTTTTTATTTTTAGATATTTTTTTCTGTTTTTATTTTTTTATGATACAACATTAAAAAATACATACAAACTCCTAACTTTCACCCCTCTACGATCAACCCCTATTTTTTTTATTATAAATGATATATATGGCAAAACGACGTTTGCCCGGTCAGCTAGTTTATTTATAAATACAACAATACTACAATAATCACACATCGAACTTACTGAGTGCGGATTTCCTGTGACGATTTTTTATACATTAGTGCTTCTTAATTGATTCCTAACTTAATTTTATAATAATACTCATAAAATGAATATCCTGGTAGTTAGGAAAATACAATTTAAATATTCAACTAAAATTTAAAAAAAAATGTTTATTATGGAACATAAGATGTATGTATCACTTATTCCACGTCATTACATTTGAATCTGTAGGCATCCCTACTCATCGGCAAACTACTTAATTCATCACCATATATTACAAAAATGATAAACATTAAATTTTATGCATTAAAGTGTCAAATACCAATGGAAACTCGTCATTTTCGTATTGACACACTGCGGTCAAATTACTACAAAATTCGAATTATATTATTCTATAAATACCATTAATAACCAAACATCATTTGCGTAAATAAACCCTCCAATATCCTGAAAGTGAAATTCCGGAAATGGTTGAAATAGTTTTGCACGGTCATTAAATTATAAAGTGGTTAGTCCGCCAGATTTCGAAATTAATCATACGCGCAAAGTTGCGAGCGAGGCCGGGTGATACCGCAATACGAATTGTATGCTAAAGTATTTTCAAACTTAATATTTCAATAATTAGTTAAATATTTTATGAATTCTGCACGGCTAATTAGTTCATACAGCATTTGTTTCATTAATTCCTGAATAGTTTTATTAGATATTATATATTTAAATTAAATTAAATCATAATGAAATACGACAAAAAACATTTGAATCATATTTGGGTCAAATCAGCAATGTAAATGAAATAATAAATTGTTTTACTAAAAGGACTCTTTAAACCAACAATGTCAACAAATTACCGTCTCTAAATAAACAAAAAATTAACCTATTTAGTTAGCGTTTTAGGCTTAAAAACTCTCTTTAATTTCGACTGTTTTCTAGCTACAACATAATTAAAAGGTACACTTAAAAACTTAGGCAAAGTAAAATGTTTGAAATTTGTAAGTAAAATTACAAATACTTTTATTGCAAAGCTTTTCGGCTTACCTGATCTTAGGCTTCGGTCTGCCAATACCTCTGGGAAGGGTTAACGAGTTACAACGTAATCCGTGAAGGCAGCTCCGATGTCAGCCTTGGAACATATCCAGGGTTTGACCTCTACTGCCTCGTATATTATGCAATTTTCCGCTTACAATTTGTGATTGAAAAATCTGTTATAAGACGGTTGAATGAAATTTAGTTTACAAATGTTTTTTTTGTTCATTTCATACTTCCGGTTTTTAAAGTGAGGTCAGAAACGCCGCAGCAAAAAAAAAATTTGTTAAATATTATTATAGTACTTAATACATCTGTGTTTAGTCTGAAACATTTTTTAATTCACTGGAAATGGAACTTAGTATCGCCAGGTTTAACAAGACGTTATAAAATATACCTCAAAGGCAGTGTTGCATTACTAATACTTGTCAATTTACGCAATTATAAGTTACACATATTAATTTACGTCCTTTTAATGAGCCCTTGACCGCCGCGTGCGTCACAGTCACGTCGTACTCCGCTATAATAAATCATTAAAAATACAACAAACGAATATTCGCGAATTCGGAGTACAAAAAACTATAAAGTAGTGCTTATAGTATCAGTGCAAGTGTTTGTGAAGGATTTATTAGACTAATTTCTGATATAAACCTAGTAAAACATACAAACATTTCAAAAGTGTAGCAATGTTTAAAACTTGTAAATAGCATTAAAACGATTAAGTAGTGCAATCCTGAAGAAAACTTTTAATAGTTCAAATATCGGATCGGTAATAAAGTGATAAACTGACTGTCTAAAAGAACAAAAATTCGTTATCGCCTTAAAGTGAAAGTGCCGTCAACAAGTGATTCATTATTCGAACAAAGAAGACAATGACTCATACCGGATCGATCTAACGAAACGGAGAATACGTACAGAGTATTCGCGAGTTACGACATGTGCACAGTTGCGAACTGAACAGAACGCTGCATGAAAAAGTTTGTAACCAAGTTACCGTACGATCAAATCTCAGGGCGGCCATATTATTTCTTACTATTTCTTATGATTTTGATATTTTTTTTTTCTCCTCTGTATGGTACCAACATTGCAATTACTATAGCTCCGCAAAACATTTTTACAGAAGGAAAGAAATAAAAAGTAAAAAACAAATTTGATAGACAATCTTCACATTAACATTACACCCTTATCAAAAACAAGTGTGACTGTGTGGCACTAAAACCTAATCATCGCGTTATCCTCTGGCTTTTCACAGAGGACTGTAGGAAAAAATAAAATTGGCAAAACATATAGTTAATTGCGCTTTATTATACACAAAATTATGGAAGACCAATTTCAATTACTGTTCGACAAAATGAAGTTGGAATTGCAGAACCAAACAACCCAACTAACGAACACAATACTTGATAAAATGGAGGAAAAACTAAGACCTGTCCTCGAAGAAAACCAAATATTGAAAAGTAAAGTAGAAAAGCTGGAAAAGAAAATAGAGCATCTAGAAAGAGATAAGAGAAGCAATAATATAATAATCCACGGTTTGGCGGAAAGTGAGCAGTCAACGTTGGATTTAATCGAGTGCATTAAAAAATGTCTATTGGATGAACTAGGTATAACCTTAGAAAATTATGAAATAAATAAAATCTACCGTATTGGCATAAAAAATAATAATGGAAAACCTAGGCCTACCCTCCTTTCTTTAGTTAGCGGATTGAAAAGAGCAGAAATTATCAGGAACAAAAAGAAATTAAAGGAATTATATATAACAGAAGACTACTCAAAAGAAACCTTGGAAATACGGAAGTCCTTGCAACCCAAACTAATGGAAGAAAGGCAGAAAGGAAACATAGCGTTCATAAAGTATGATAAACTTATTGTCAAAGGGAATTCAAGGGCCATAGACAAGAGGAAGAGAGTTAAATCAAACTCTCCGCAAGCAGAATTATTACAACCAAGAAAACAGAAAACACTAATCTCGTCTAGAAATAACAGAATAAATGCATTCGACGTGATGAGAGGCCGATCTCACGAGCATTCAACACTCCCAACAAAAACTCAGCAATAGCAATTATTGTATACCGGCGGTCAGAAACGAAAGAAACAAAAGTAACAAAAGTATAATAAACACACTCCCCCAACTATTCTTCCAACCCGGCTGGTCACCGTGGAAGACTATGACCAAAACCCTCCAAGGACATCATCATCATACCACACAAAACAAGCAATGAAAAAAAAAAAAAAAAAAAAAAAAAAAAAAACAGAGGCAGACCCTACGCTCGATGGGATGATGACATCAAAAAAATCGCGGGTCCTCACTGGGTCCAAATAGCTCGGGATAGAGAAAGATGGCAAGCCTTGGAGGAGGCCTTTACCGGAGAGGGTTCCTGATACTTACTAACTGTAAAAATTATTCACTAACACATGAGATAACTTGATATATTTGTATTAGGAAATTAAGATAAGGCTTAAAATAAATAAAAAATAAATAAAAAATAATGAGCCCTGTTCAAAGAATATCCAACAATTTTTTTATCTCATCGTATTCAATACAATATTATGTTAGCCATAACCTACATACTGAACATCGATTATATGGCCACCCGTATTATAATTCAGACTTCAAGACTATTTCGTATAGTGAAAAATGTAGGTAGTGCTGCTGGCGTTATGCCAACGACGTGGACTGCATCAGTCACTTCGCACGACGCTCTTGGGATAAAGACCGTTCTAGAACTGGAAATTATTGCACTACACATGCGTCAAATAAATTTCCCGATAAGAATATACTTGTACTGGCAACGTTTATTTTAATTCGTATATAGTCATAATTCAACGTGACATTGTATGGGATAGTATTCGCTATATTTATTATTCGGATAAATGAGGCTGTCTTGTGTAAAATATAGTCGGCCTTATTATAAATGCATTTGTTACCATGGTTACTATTTATGTATGAATTACGAATAACCTGTTCGTTTAGTTAACGCTACAAGCTACTAACACGGCTGGGACTGCGAACATAGTCTGCAAGATACAACATTTTTATGAAGAATTTGTTAGCCCTTTGAATTAAAAAAAAAAATCTCCTTTTAAATACAATAAAATCCTGGTACTAATATAATATCGGTGTGTATTAGATTTCCTTTATCTTTTGACTGTTATAGTATAAGTGTTTTAAATCATATCTTTTCTTTTCAACCAGTTGCTCCAACAGTTAAAGTTCCAAACCAGCTGCTAGGAGCACCCTTGGGGACGGATGTCAAACTCAAGTGCTACGTGGAGGCATACCCAAATACAATTAACTATTGGATCAAAAATAGAGGAGAAATGCTACTAGATGGGTAAGAAAACAAATATATACTTCGAAATAAAACCTAATTTATTAATCAACGTGCTTGCTATGCAAAAATTAAATTTTTCTATTCACCGCGAGACAGCTAATTTTCGAGAACCTGAATACTTGGAAATAAAACTAAAATGTTTACCTTTCCTTTGCTTTTGAACGTAATTTAGCCGGTTTCGACTTATTATTTTTGTCTGCTCCTTGGTTCATTAAATTCTGAGAAAGATGTTTTTGAAAATGTATACAAGAAACATGTAGTGCACAGAGCTGTGTATACTATAATTAATGAAGAAGAAATTTAGGAGATTTAATTACATCATTAATTACCAATATAATTAATGAATTAATATAATGGTCAGCGCTGCGCTTTCTTATATTCTCATGTCATTTACGTACGTCTATAAACGTACAAAATAATGTAACGTACAAATATAAAAATGATACGATTAAGTCCAACTAGACTTTATAATGGAAGACAAAGAGGCAACAGTAGTTTCCAAAATTCAACCAAAACTTGAATATTTTACAAATATGTTTGCAAGACAACGTCTTAACTGATTTCTATAAAAAATTGCAACAGAAAGTTATAAACGATAGATAAGTTTTTTACGCTGTGCAAAAATAAGCTAAGTTATTCTTTTTAAACAAAATAATTCAGCGCACGTCAGGTTATGGGTTAATGTAGCGTTATTCTTAATGATTCGTTAAAAGCGAGTTTTGTGCCAAATTTCGCTAAAGTTTCGGTTGTATCTTTCGTATTTTGGCATTGTTCTATTAAAACTTCCCGACATTTTGATACAAAGGCTCTAGGCACTATTCGAATTTTATTATTATTTAGTTTTGCTTAAAATTTTTGTGAAACTCATATACAATGAGCAATGATGACTAAACTAAACTTCGTTTCATTTTTCAAATTGGAAATTGTTATAAGCTTCTTTTAATTACACTTAATTATATAAATATAAACAAACAAAAGCGTAATATTACTGAAAATTGTCTTTTTTAATTTTTTGACACAAGCTTAGATTTGCGCATTTATGATGTAGTTAAATAACGATTATTTCTAAAATTAAAAAAATGATTTTGATAAGACAATATTTTTATTGAATAACAGAAAAAAACACGTGTTCAATTTTATAATATAATACAAAACCATTGTATGTATGTATTGCCCATTTATTCACAATCTTTTATAGATACTGTTACAAAGAGATTTTATTAGTGGATATTTACAGATTCTCTATAAAGACAATTCATATCGCTCATCGTAATTCATTATAAACACACGCGCGCGTTATTTATAAAAAAAAATATATCTGTGTGACTCGAATGCCAGATACGCGCTTGTATGGACATATAGAACATAACCTCATATTTTGCTCTTAAATCGTTTTGAAAATTAGATATATCTATAATTTGCTTGATAGTTTAGAACGTTCTAAACCCTTGATACAATTATGAATTGTAGCCTCAAAGAGCCCCGGCATAATTACTTCCTTTCAATTTGATTGATGACGCTTTAAGGATGAAAATAACACTTCTAATACCGTAAGCTACCTTTTAGGTAAGTGGCTTTCGAAAGGGTTACTTAAAATGAAATATATACCAGGTTTTATTAAATGTTGCGCTTTAATAATCCCAATATCCTGTTTTTGCTCTTCAATATACAGATACCTTCCTGAACGCACTGGTCGAGATTTAAAATGCTGTGTAATTAAATACGTAGATTACTGATTTAACTACATAACATATTTAAGATATATGCCACATTTCTTATCTGTAAAGCAGCACTACTCTAACTATACCTTGTGTGAAAGTATGATGTTATTTACATACCTTTTTAGTTGCTACGTACCAATGGAACGTTTTACTATGCTACCCCATAGAGATTTTTCGCTTTTGCGGAATCTTAGTACTAAATACATTTTTTTAAATTTTCCAATTTCTATCTCCATAAAACTTCCTTACAATTCCAGGAATAAAATTTAAAAATTACTCAAATTGTCCAGCCGTCTTCGAATTTATGCACTTAGCAACATATCTGCTATTAATTTTTATTTTTATAGATATTCTGTGTTGTGATGCGTCCGTTATGCTTCCTAATGCAAACTATATTGCGCAATTATTCGGACCATAATTGAAATAATTTTAAATATCAATATATAAAATTATGTAAGTTAAGAGTATTGTAAATACTGTATGTTTGTGTGGTAAATATCGACAATCAATCGATATGGATATCGTCATTAGCGGGCTTAGTGGGCTCATGTGGGTAAAGTGCGAGCACAAAAGACACGAATAATTATCGTAAAAAGATTTAATTTAGATTGAATTATAACGAGAAGCGGGTTTAGAGCAGCGATCTCACTTTTAATCACAATCTACTAGACCCAACTTATGTATATAGAATATAAATAAAATGTCCTTTTTTATTTTTTAGCCCAAAGTACACAATACGCGAAGAGAAGTCATCCTACAAAGTATCGATGTGGTTGACCATCCGACAATTCGCAAAGAGTGATATCGGTACATACAACTGTGTCAGTACCAATTCATTGGGGAAAAGTGAAGGGACACTGCGGTTGTATGGTAAGAAGCTATTTTTATAAAAAATACCAACTTTTAATAAAAATAAATACATCAATGGCGCTACAACTCCTTTAGGTCTGGACTTCAGACTTCTGAATCTGTTTCTTGATTTTTGTGATCAGCCTCCAGTGCCTGACACACGCCGTCGACTTTTTGGGTCTACGACAAGACGGTTTCCTCGCTATGTTTTCCTTCACCGTTCGAGCGAATGTTAAATGCGCACATAGAAAGAAAGCCCACTGGTGCACAGCCAGGGATCGAACCTACGACCGCAGGGATGAAAGTCCCACGCTGAAGCCACAAGGCCAACCCTGCTTATACCAAGCTTTAATAATACTTTAAATAACTGTTTAGTTCTTTATATTTAAGCTTATTACTGCTTAGCGGCATCGCCGGTACAGCCAAGGTACTCTGCAACTCCCAATAGCTATCCCGATGTGGATTTTTTACTGCGTGATCCAAAAGTTATATAAGCGTTATGATATTGAGAGAACTACATAGGAATTGCATACAAAAACGACACATTTGGAATTATTGCTATTGAAAGTTACACAGTGGCCGCTGTCGTGGAAACATACATCCTCTATTGCACATTTTAGTAGGCCTTATAGTGTTCAGACTTAAAACAGAATGCGTCTGCTTCAGAAATCTGACAAAAAATATTTAAAAGCAACTGCCAGTACACAATATTTTTTTTATTCATTTCAATATGTATTACAACCCCATCTTTTTCTAATTTTTCTCAGCGATCGTTCTCTTTTCTGGGTTACTTGTATAACAAAATTAACAGAACTCTGAATATATATCCTAAAACTAAAAAATGTAAAGCAAATAGTTCATAAATTTTGACTTACTTTCAACTATTAGACCAGTGCCGTTAATTTTTGAAACCTAAAAAAATTACAGTAGGATGAAACCCATTAGAAAAGCAGGGGAATATGATCAAAATGAAAGGAAAAATAAATTACGGTCGATCTGAGGTCGGGAAGGGGAAGGGGGGGAGTTTTAAGGGTAAAAAACGGTTTATCTCGATTTCCGGCAAAACTACAAGTCCTATCGAAGAAAGTTAAATGGCAAAGTTGGAGGTAATAAAACGATCTAAAACTTTTGTATTCACACATTTTTCACATAACTTCAAAATTTATGTGAAAAATTCAAAAAACCAAGTTTTTGGTTTTTTATTTTTATCTTTAACAAAAATATTTTTTTTTTAACGAAATTTGGTGAAAACTTACCTTTCTATGTCCCAAATACACTGTAATTTATTTGATTAAATTCTGACGTCAAAATTTCAGCTTTTTTCAAAAAGTTGGTGTGCTTTCAGTTCGTTGAAATCTCTACTTTCCTATGGTAAAAATATATATATATATATTACTATAGTAAATCTTCTCAGAAAAGGCAAAAAATCGTATGCAGTAACGCCCAGACCTGTCATCCCCTTCCTTGAAAAATAAAAAACCAAAAACTTGGTTTTTTGAATTTTTCACATAAATTTTGAGGTTATGTGAAAAATGTGTAAAAACAAAAGTTTTAGATCTTTTTATTACCTCCAACTTTGCCATTTAACTTTCTTCGATAGGACTTGTAGTTTTGCTGGAAATCGAGATAAACCGTTTTTTACCCTTAAAACTCCCCCCCTTCCCCTTCCCGACCTCAGATCGACCGTAATTTATTTTTCCTTTCATTTTGATCATATTCCCCTGCTTTTCTAATGGGTTTCATCCTACTGTAATTTTTTTCACTTTTTATTTATTTTAAAGGCTATCTGCACTGGTCTATATGACCAAACTGAAAATCTGCTACATGTAATAAAATAATTTTCACATATGTTCTCAGGCGTGTGCCTGACACATACCCATACAAACCCTCCTAACACTCACTTACACAGACGATCATACCCTCTACCTCTATCACACACACACATACACGCACTCACATGGGTTACCATACAACTTTATTTCTACTAACTCCTAACTAGTTGCATGTTTTGTTTTTTTTTCTTACCTTATTTAAAACGTTAATTTGTTTGCCTACCCATATATATGTATGTCCTTTTTGTTACCACTCAATATGACTGCTGTGGAATGGAAGCCTGGTTATCCATATCACAGGTTCTTACCTAGTTTGGAAACCAGTCTCCCAATACCTTCTTAAGTTAAATCTTAGTTAAGTTATATGGGACAAAATAAAATGATTATTATTATATCGATACGAAATAAGTCTTTTTAGAAAGTATATACGCATTTGACTTGTCAATAAATAAATAACAAGGTAATTACGGAGTATTGTTAAATACACAGGAACTTATAACTATGTCATTAGTTAATATGGAAAAATATAATTTTTCACATGCGTGCAAATTATGTGCGTGAGAAGGCTTCATAACATCGAGGACCATAAAGATGAATAAAAGGATTTTACGAACATTATCTATGGTAATGGCACATCCATTATGGATAAATACATCTAGCTTTGTATGCTTTACAATTAATGCATTAAATATAATAAAATAAAATATTACTTGAAAAATATATTGTCTTCCTTTGTTAAATTAATTTACCCTATTTTATGTTACGTTGACATTGGAAGACAAAAAAATACTATCCAAATTATGTATTTGGTCAGGATTTAAGTTAGTTACTACTTGGAAACAAGCCTATAAATAAAATGTCTTAACATGTGACTATAGGTTGTATTCGAAGGACTGAAAATCTACGAATATGTAACAAAATAATGTATCGTCACAGGTTAAACACAATTTGACATATGAAATGAATTATTTTTGTGAAACAGTCCACTCTGAATTCTATAGAATTCCCTGTACATTTTGTTACATCGCCCATGTATCAGTCCTATTTATTTTCTAAAAAAGATTCGAGGAAAAACACACCAGTACCAGTATGTTTCACAAACATTGACAATGTGTTCGAAAATGAAAAGTTCTTCGTATGAATAGAGACAGTATCAAAGCCGGCAATAAAATTAAAAGCAAATATCGAGACTGCGAGAATATGTCGATATGAAAGTATCATTTCGAGGAAAAATCGTATACAATTGGCAAAGGATCTTCGCTTAGCGGCCTTTCGCTGGCAAACTGCCCGTATCTACTAATATCGACTTTATTGTTAAAGATAACATAAATTCGTATATGTCTCGTACAAAAACTAAACTGTCTATCTCTTTTCATTATTCTTAAAAACTATTTGATAGAAAGAGACGAATGAGTACAGTGCAATTAGACTAAATTAGGATTTATGAACAGGATTTAGTAATATTTCTTATGTAATTTAAGAATGGTTAATGGGAATAACAGCAAAATGTGCAATATTAAGTGTAACCCAGAGAGCCATGGAAAGAAGCATAATAAAGAAAAGCAGAATTAACAAAATTAGTAACAAGAATTTAAGAGATAAAACAGGGTTTGCTGACTTTGTGTATAAAACAAAAGTACTAAAATGGAAATGGGCTGGACATACCATAAGAGGAGCAGATAAATGGAGCAAAATTGTAACACTATGGCAACCAAGAGGCCATAAAAGAAACAGAGGTAGGCAATTTAAAAGGTGGGCCGATGAAATCATGGAAATGGCTGGAAAGACTAAGACCTGGACGAGATTGGTATACAATAAGGAAAAATGGAGGACAATGGGGGGAGGCCTTTGCCCGTAGGCACACAGAATCAGTTATCGTAGATTAAGAAAAATAATAGTTATAATGTATATATTTTGTATTTCTGATATAATACTGTAAATAAATAAAAAAATGGGAATAACAAATTAAAAATAAGATGCGTCCGATATCACACGTGTGTGGATCAGGCTGGGATCAATTTCCGGCGAAACAATAAATTATTCATCTCCGGAGTTAGTCTTAAAAATTCATAAATGAAACAGACGACCTTTGTTACATATGTCTTCGTCCGTTATACATACAAAAACAAAACACGTTCGAGATCTCAGTTCTCTAAAGAAAAAGATATTTTATATGCGACAGGATATCTAAAATTACTTAACCCAGACACAAATAGAAAAAAAATTTCGAGCGACAATTTTTAATCCAGACCTCGTCATTTCAGAAATTAAACTCAACTCGCCAGAGGACTTCAGCAATCAAATAAGCGTGGCGGGAGGTTCGTACACATTTTTCTTAAAACTTATCATTTTTTAGCATTCCCATTTGAATTTCAGCTTCAAAACTGTTTGAACAAAATATTTTGAACTCTAAATTTTCAGAAATTATAAAGCAAACGAATTTTTTACTCGGAAACCGTCACAGCAATCCATTAGGGATAAACCGATATTTGAAAGTAAAATCGGAAACTAAGAATTTAATTTAAATTTGACCCACAAAAATATGTTGCATTTTTTAATCCGACTTGATTGAAATAGTTAAAAAGGAATGTGTGCCCAGTGTGGCCAATCAATTATTATGAATGAAATATTTTTTATTGATTGGTCTGTATTATATTATTCCTCAAATAACGTCTTAATATTATGAGGAACATACCTTGTTTTTAATAGATATCTAACTCAATACAATCATAGATTAAATAAGGATTAGATAAATGAGATTTGTGTCGATCTTTTACTAGAATTCGTTGCCGCTACGACTTAATAGTACTATATATTTTACATATACGCTGAATCATCATTTAATCTTATTTTATTTATTTATTTACAAAAGCTTGCCAACGCTTGGCACATTAATACATTGACAGAAGAAAAATAAAATACAGTTTTCAATGTGTCAAGCACTTACAGGTAAACATAGCATACAAGAAGTAATGAAATTAATTAATCAAAACAATATTAAATTTAAACAAACACTAAACGAAAATCGCCCTCAAAGTCTGAGGTGAGCAACTATGGATGCATTATACATGCGGCATTTTTCTAGCGCCTATATTACTGTTCCATCCTGTATATTGTATTACCGTTTAAATCTTCGTTTTCACCGTATTCCAACTTATATTACCTTCTGAAGTGTTAAAAGTGATTTCTTCTCCAGGTCTAACAGAAGCGGCCAAAGCGAATTCACAGGAAAGGTTACATATAAGACGGACATTGTTAATATTAATAGTAAGTTGTGTATATTTGTATGTACTGTAGAGATTGTTTAAATAAACGCGAAAATGTATGCTTTAAAGTAATTCAATTACATTGTTTCAAATTGTAAATATAAATAAGATTGTGTTGGTATTGTTATTTTGCTGGGATCTATAGTATGTCTTTATAGATAATGCGTGGACCTCTTCAACAATAATCATTAATTTATTACAGTCAGTCAATTTAAAAGCATAATAAATTATACATCTTAACTTTTCTCCACACTATTTATTGGTGTAAACTAAATAGTTTATATTTGAGTATATGGCATTTATACGGGCAGACATTTTCTAATAATTATTACTTATGTGCGTACGAAAACCGTAGCTAATAGATATAAGTGTAAAACGGGAAGAAAATTTTCTCTA